CTGAAAAGCAATGGAAAAAATATCCTCAGGTGAGGATTTAAAAAAATTTTTTAAGTTTAAAATACATTTTCTGGCTCATGGTAAATACTGACTTTTTGAAATAAAACTTACATCACTTTTAAGTGTATCAAGTGGTATGTAAATACCTTAATGGTTTGATAAGCACTACCATTCATTTTAAAAATAAGTTTTTTAATATTTGAAAATTTTACACTTTTCCTTTCTTTTAGTCCTTGAACTTGAATTTCCATTCCACTTCCATTATGTTTTTATAATTTTTTATTGGTCATCCTATCATATGCCAAAAATATGTAAATAAAAATTTAATAAACTTTCCTTGTGACTAAACCTCTAAGTGTATAAAAAATTTTTCTTCTGGGATGAATTACCATTAAAATGATTAGTCATGTTAAGTTGATAAAAGGAATTTAAATATACTTTTATAAATAATTATACATAAATTTGTCATGGAATTGCTTCTCTTAAGATGAGCTAAATTGTATTTTTTTTCATTAGCATGTATCTATATGAATATATATGATTTACTGATAAGATGTGATAGGACTCAGCATCAGTTTTCTTCGTTTTTTGTTTTTTTATAGATGTGATCCCTTAGAAACCTAGTACATAGAAATAAGAAATACAAATGGACAGTTTTGCTAGAGCAATGTTGCTCAAGTCTTTGAACTCCTTCTAAGTTATATGCCCCAAATCATATTGATCTACTGTCAGTAAATTTTTGTTTGTTTGTTTGGTGTGTTTTTTTGTTCAAAGTAAATGAAAATTGTCTGACTTGCAAGAAAGGATGCAACTTGGTCGTATTAAAGAAATATCTCAACCTCTGGGAAGTTTCCCAACAAAGGCTTTACCAAGACTTATCAAATGATAATTATGCTTGTAATTCTTTTATGTATTTAGTTACCTTGTTTCACCCAGACCATCAGAATGGTTGGGGACATCTAAATATTGATTATTTCATTACACCTTTGCCAATAGAAGATTTTTTTATTTTTTATTTTTTACCAAAAAACCTAGTTTATGTGTACTTCAAAGCCATTTTTATAAACAACTTGGAGCTACAATTTGGTTCATTTAATTTATGGAACATGCCCATCGAGTTAATGGCGCATCGTAGAGTATTGAGACTGGCTGAAAATAATTACACATAATTTGGGGGGTCAATTTTTTAACTTTCTAAATTCAGGACACCCAGCAGAGGACTAGAAGTGACCCCCCTCTCCCACTCGACCAGGTTTCCTTAACTAAGTGCAAGAAAGCAATGAGGGATTGGAAGCTCTTCATGTTGTTCCTGACTTGATTAATCATCAAAGGAGGCTTCACCACCATGTGGTGTGTGGGACTGTGTGGAACTTTCTGCACCCAGGCCGAGGCATCAAGAGGACAGGGAGTAGATTGACAGGCTTCTGTGGGATGGGAGAAGAAAAAGTGCCTGAGAAACAGGAAGGTCTGTTAATTTCCTTAAAACATCTGGGCCTCCTAGCCCTCTGCAAGACTTCCTAGATATGTATTGCGATTGGAAGGCCACTAGTTTATAGAGCTGGGCCCACTGTCTTCTGTAAAGTTAAATCTTTACAAATTGCTTCTATGGTTTTAGGGTTACTCCTTCCTCTTGATGAGGTTTTATAATTTTTATTTCCTTTGCCCATCATCCATTTCATTAAAGTTTTCAAATTTGTAAATGTAATAAATAGGATGTTCTCAAAATTTAAAAATAATTAAACCACCCTTGACCCAAACGCTTAACTTTTTTTCTCTCTGCACAACCAAGATGAAATGTTTAGGCGGATTTTCCTTTCCCAGAGCTAGTCTTAGGTTTTGCTGAGAGAACGGAGACTGGTCCCACGCAGGCAGTCTCAAGTTTCAAATTCAGTCATAACATCGTTATTTTCAATTTTAACTATGTGTCCATATTAATTAATACTCATAAAAGAAAATCAGGAAACAAAGGATTAACATCCGGAGTATACCGATCAATCCAAGTTAAGATTTAACAAGCCATTCACAGGCTAGGAGACCGTGAACCTGACGATGATCTCAGTGGTGATCAGCCAGCTGCAAACGGGAACAGCGCGATCCCGGCAAAGGTTGGAAAGGCGGAGGGAGGGCCGGTGCAGGAGCCGCGCGGTGCGGGGAGAGGGCGGCGGTGCGGAGAGGGCGCACCCCCCGCCCCGGGCCCTTCTTTCCTGGGGGTGTTTTCAGGCCAGGACTGTTGCTGCGATAAGTTTTCTGGGTTTGAGGGGACACTTGGCGAGCATCTGTCCTAGATATCTAATACTGATTGAACACAAAGTTTTTAAACCTCAAAATAAATCGACACGGTTAATGGCGTTGAAATGGAAAGACAGCTGAGTTTTATTCTAACGGTTTTACTTACAAAAGTGTAAAACTCATAACTGTCCCCTAATTGTGGACAAAAGGTAGGCGACAATTTGAGGGTGCGTCCCTGAAGGAACTCGGGACGGCGGCACTGAACCAAAGGGCAGGTTCCACAGTCCCCCCGAGCGAATCGGGCACCACCACCCATGACGTCAGCGCGGCCTGCGGGCGTGGCCTCGCTGGGTTCGTCCAATAGAAACGTCGGGGGCGGAGCACGTTCTCCAGCGGGGGCGGGGCTTCCTGCAGTTGCGTCCTGCGGCGGGCGGAAAATAGAACGCTGGGTGCGGGCGAGGCCTCTGGAGTCTGACCCAGGCCCGGCGGTCAGCGTGCGCCTGTGACCGCGGGGGATCGGCCGGGTGACTGCAGACCCCTGGTGTCCGCACGTTTGCGCTCCACGCCCACCGCCTGCCTCCCACCTGGCTGCCTCACCTTTGTTGCCCCACGTCCAGCCGCCTTGCCCCAGAGCACATTGAGCCCACTGACAGAGCTGTCCCTGCTTCTGCCCCACAGCTTCCAAGTGCCAAATGATGGAGGAGCGTGCCAACCTGATGCACATGATGAAACTCAGCATTAAGGTCTTGCTCCAGTCCGCCCTGAGCCTGGGCCGGAGCCTGGATGCGGACCACGCCCCCTTGCAGCAGTTCTTCGTGGTGATGGAGCACTGCCTCAAACACGGGCTGAAAGGTGAGCCTGGGGCGTGCGGGGCTCTCATCGGTGCCGAGCCTTGTTCTGGGTTCTAGGACAACAGCAATGCACAAAATACACAAGGTCCTGCCCGCAAGGTGTGGCATTCTTGAGGCGCTGTCTAATAGAGATAGTCATGCAAGCCATGTGCAATTTTTAATTTTCTAGTGGCCACATTTTAAAAAAAGAAATGAAAAGAAACAAGTGAAATTAGTCTTAATGATATACTTTATTGAGCTGAATATATCTAAAATATTATTTTGATAATCAGTATTAAAAATTCTTATTAATGAGATATTTTGCATTCTTTTTTATACTAAGGCTTAAAAATACGCTGTTTTGTATTTACAGCATGTCTCTATTGCACTAGCTACATTTCAACTGCTCAATAGCACATGTGGCTAATGACAACCTTGGACAGCACAGTTCTAGTTGAGGTAGACAATAAATACAGAAACAAGCCAACATAATTATCAAATGCTGCAAATTCAAGGAAGCAAAATGGGTCAAATGAGAGAGAATCAAAGGAAAAACCTTTCAACTCGGGTAATAGGGGAAAGTTTTTCTGGGGAGGTGAAATGTCAGCTGAGACATACCAGCAGAAGGATCAATCATGCAGAGATTTGGGGAAAGCAAAAATCAAAAACAAAACACAGGTTCAAAGGTCCTGAGTGGGACCATCCTTAGTTTGAGGAAGACATCAGGTAACTGAGGGGTGCTGAGAGGAGGGAGGACGGAAGGGCTGGAACATGTAGGCCTCTATAGGTCAGGTGAAGAATTGGATTTTATTCTAAGAGTATTTAGAAAATTAAGGGTAAAACATGACCTAACTTCCATTTTTAAAAAATGTGGAATACCGATTGTAGGGGTGAGGAGATGATGATATTAAGAGCAAGGAGACTTAGAAGATTATCGAAGCAGTTCAGACAAGGGATGGTGGTGATGTCCATTTGAAATCAAGTATTAATTTTGTCATCAGGTAGGTAGGAAGGAGAAAGGGGAAGGATTTCACAAGTGATCATATGAGGTACTTGATTTATTTCATGGGCAGTAAATACTTAGAGAAAGAGCATAGTAGGTACATCAGAGAATCCTTGTTTCCAGAAGAAGGGAGAGCTCATTTGTTACTTGGCCTCTCCCAGTCTCCAAGACTAAATCTGAAGAACTAAATGGAAGGATTAAATCTGAAATATTTATTTGGCTTTTGGAAACAGACTCCTGAAGACATTTTGCAACCTATTCTTATGACTAACACTTTTGTTTTCCCTTTTAGTTAAGAAGAGTTTTATTGGCCAAAATAAATCTTTCTTTGGTCCTTTGGAGCTGGTGGAGAAACTTTGTCCAGAAGCATCAGATATAGCCACTAGTGTCAGAAATCTGCCCGAATTAAAGTAAGAAGTCATTACCCTGATTTGATGTTTAATAAAACTCCCTCATATTTACCCATTTTTCAATTCCTTGCTGATAAAACCTTTTCTAATTTAAAACATTGTGCATGAGCCACCCTCTGCTTAGACTTTAGTCCCAGCTCTGCTGCTCATTATCCATATGACCTTGAACAAGATTTACCCCTTTCTGAGCCTCAGTTTACTTCTCTTTAAAATGGGGACAGTGATTCCTGCTTGTCACACGAAGTCACGTAGGGTGAAAAGGAATTGTTGTGTGAGGAGCAGTTACAGGAGGAAAAGGAGTCATTGCTACACTTCTGGAAACACTGCTTCAGACATATCTGGGCAATTTTCTGAATAATACAGTCCGGGCCAGATTTTAGATTCCAGAACAAGGGGCATTTGTGAAGAGGCTGGGACTAACAAATCATTTGCCATGTCTGGGTTTACCCTTGGGATCCCTATCATTGGCTCAAAATAAAAAACTGACAGAACACAAACAGGGTGTCATCATGGAATCTCATTTAGACGAGGCCCTAGACACCCTTGGGCTGATACAAAGGAGTCCCCTGGGACTGTCCAGCCTCTGTTTGACTCCCTTCCTGTGGAGCCAGCCTGCTCCAGTTTCAGACAATAATAATGGCCAGCATTTACTAAGGGTGTGCCATGTACCAGGCATTATGCTAAGGACATTTCATTGCCTCATTTAATTCTCCACAAAAGCCTCTAGGAAAGCTGTTGGTATCCCCAGTGACAGGCATGGAAAGTGAAACTCAGAGCTGGCGAGTAACTTGCCCCAGGTCCCTTGACAAGAAGTGAGTGGTAGCCAGGAAGAGAACACAGGTCTGTTGGACTGAAACCCTCTAAACCCCACCAAGCCCTGTTGCTGCAGAGCCCTGTGAAATAAGCAAGTTGCAGGACAGCATGTGTAACATGTTAATTTTTTTAAGGGGAGAAAAAAATAAGAATTTATATTTGTTTTCATGTGCATAAAAATGTTCTGGAAATAAACCTAAACTAAAAACAGTATATTAATGTATGGGGAAGGAGAGCAGGAGAAAAAGTTAAGTATTAAACTGTTCATACTGTTCTTTTCCACTTCATATTAGATCTTAGACCACATTCCCTATCAAATACTCGCCCACATCATTTTTGAAATGGGCGCATAGCCTTCGCTGTCTGCTCATTTGTTTAACGCCCCTTTGGGCTTCGTAGTTGTCTTCCAGTGCCCATTCTGGACGACATCCCTCCTATACATCCTAATCATTTCCTTAGGATGTGTCACTAGATGGAGGATTTTTATAACCAGCCATCACCAAGCTGCCTGCTGGGAGAGTTGTGCTGGTTTACACCCCCACTGAGCAGCCTGTGTCAGTGTCCATTTTCCACATTGTGCCGACATTAAATACCTTTTTCCCTACTTTATTTCCTTTCCTTTTTACTCTAGTTCTTTTTTTTCTCATCATTTATTTGTGGGGTGGTGGTGGTGGAGTTAGCCTCTTGTATTGATGAAGTTAGATCAACCCTGTGGGCCTGGCTCCTGAGGTCACTGGGGTGCACAGCCAGGCTGCAGCCCTAAGAGCGCCCCTGGGTGCAGATTCTGATTACAGCAGTGCCTCTGTACTCTTGGGTGTGTCACAAGTGCACTTACTCTGCTTAGAACAGAATCTTGTTCTCCTTAAACAGTATGAGGTCTATAGTTGGGAGGCTTTTTTCCTCTTCTGATGTTTAAAGCAGGCCTTGTCAAGTTTGCACCTTTGAGGTTGGCTGCACAACAACATGAATGCACTTAACACTACCAACCGATATACTTAAAAAGGTAAAGTTTATGTTACATGTTTTCTACCACAATTTTTTTTAAATTGCATCTTTGAGTTAATGCCTCAGAAACCATGTGAGACTTCAACACTTTAACAAGTACTAACAATGTTGTGTATTAATCTTGGAAAGAATATTTATCTATTATACAAAGTTAATCTAACATTTCCTGGCTCCTGTGAAATTTTATTAATATAAGCAAAGTTTTATCTGTGTTTGTTCCAGAAATCAGATTTTTGTGAGTTAAGATTTTTTCCTCTTGTTGAAATGAAAAACCACACACATGCCCATGATACAAAATTCAAACAGTACCCAGAGGTGTATAGTGAGGTGACTGCCTTCCCTGACAGTGTGCTCCCCCAGCCCTCCAAAGCAGCTATCTTATAATGTTCTCTGCATTCGCAAGTGTGAATGTGTGTACGTCTTGGCCTAACTTGTCTTTCTGTTTTGTTTTTTGTTGTTATTTTTGTGCCATAACAGTTCTCTGTTTGAATTCTAGGACAGCTGTGGGAAGAGGCAGAGCTTGGCTTTATCTGGCACTCATGCAAAAGAAACTGGCAGATTATCTGAAAGTGCTGATAGACAATAAACATCTCTTAAGGTATTTAATCACCTATCTTTGCTTGTTTTTTACTTTGAATTAAGTAAGGGTCTATAAGATATAGAGCTTTTATTCAAATTGTATTAATCATAAATATTCTCTCGCTTAGTTTTAAAATAGTTCTATTTCATTTTTTGAGCACTGATATCTGAAAGTTGGTATGAATGACTGAAAATTTATATTTTCATTTTTAAAAGTCATTTTGAAGATAATTCTTCCAAAATACCTAAGATTAGGTAGTTGACAACGTACTCCATTAAATTTCAACAAAATTGTATTTATTAGATTGTATATTCACAGGAAAAAATGACTTTAGAACTAGATGCTTTTTTTACCTGTTTTAGGATTCCATATCCAGTTTGTAAAATTTTATATCTCTTAGCATCAGTAAAGACTGTCTATCTCTGAAATTTATGACTGGTTCATATTTGATACTCATAACTGTAAGCAAAAATAATCATTCTGAAAGGAATTTTCTCTAGAATGTAAGAATTCGTAAGGGAAGAGTCTCAAGTTAATTCTCTTATCTAATTGAGATAAAACTTTTTACAATATGACCTGCCACCCCAGATTTTTCATTATTTTCAAGTCATGGCTTATCATTGAATAAATCTGTACATGATAAATACTGATTTCAAATATGTCATGTCCTCTGTATTTTGAGCACAGTTATACTGAGTAACTTTGAGATACAGATTTTGTCTAAAAAACTGGTTCTTAAGACAGTAAGTTCTCACATGTGCAGGTGTGCGCGCACACACACACATGCACACACACACACGCACACACAAACACGGTGGTAAATTGGCAGATGAGTGGTGACCAGAGGCCGTCAGAGAGGGATGAAGGCCCACTGCGTACAGCGCGGTGAGGGCCATAAGGGAATGAGAGCGGCCGCTCTTGCTCCCTGGGACACACGAAGAGGGAGGCTTTTACTCCCGGGTGTGGGAGTTGTTCCGAGCAATGTGGAAGGAGGAGCCTGGGGACAGGAGGGGAGAGTGATGGCCAGGAACGCAGGAGCCAAGAGGAGATGGCAAGGGCTGGGTTCCAGGCTCCAAATGGCAGAGTTCACCGTAGGCCAGGGGCAGGAAGAGCCCTCTCTCGGCCACAGGAAAGGAGAGGAGGCCAGAAAAGAAACAGCAGCACTTGCAGCAAGAGAGGGAAATGAAAGGCAGAAGGAAGTTCACACAAAGGAGCCTCTGGCAGCCAGGCCATGAGCTGAGAGGTGGAAAGGCGGGCTGGGGTGGGGATAAGGGCCGGCGACATTCCTGAATGGCTCCCCTGGCCACCAATCTCTTGCAGTGAGTTTTATGAGCCAGAGGCCTTAATGATGGAGGAAGAGGGGATGGTGATCGTCGGCCTGCTGGTGGGACTCAATGTTCTTGATGCCAATCTCTGCCTAAAAGGAGAAGACTTGGATTCTCAGGTAAAGGGGGATTTGGATCCCGATGGAATGACTTCTCTAGGCCAGGGATTTCATGTAGGATCTGTGGACAGTGCTCAGTCTCAGGCAGGGACAAAGGGCTGTGCTGGGGTAGAAAGGGAGGCAGCGGGGGAAGGAGAAAGAGCGAGCTTGGGCAGAGGCACACAGAAGGCACCCGGGCTTGTCAGCAGGCAGCAGCTGTCCGTGGCTGGAACACAGGATGCTCCGCGGGAGGTGAAGGTGGAGGCTGGGCTCAGATGTTGGGCCACGGTGCCATGCCAAAGGCTTTACCATTGTCCCTTGAGCTTTGAGACGTTCTCGGAGATTTTTAAGCCGTACAATGAAGTGATCAGGTCGGAGTTTGAGAATGATGAATCTAGCAACATCCAGGCCATGAGACAGAAGTGGCCAAGGACAGACGCAGCAAAAACTGAGCTGCCAAGTCTCCAAGCCCCAGGAGGCTGGATGGGGAGTGGGGAGATAGTCAGGAGAGATTTGGGAAGTCAAGTTAGTAAAACAGGGCACAAAAAGTAGTAAGGTACAGAGGGGCGGGACAACCCTCTTTGGATGGGAGCAGGTGACCAGGGCTGAGGCCTAAACTCCTGGTGTCTGAGTGGGACAGACACCCTGACCCCTCCCTACCTTGACCCCTCAGGCAAAGAGGGCACCTGTGTCTGTGGCTGGGCTACTGCCTGGCTTTCTGCCCACCACATGTTTGGACCTGAAGACTCTAAAGCTTCCCTAAGCCCTCCATGCCCAGGTCAGTTTTGGGTTTTTTTTTGGTAACCTCTTCTCCCTCTTTTTTTCCCCCCAATCGTTTTGTTGTTCTTGTATATTGAATTTTTTTTTTAGATACAGAGGTGTATTTTTGAAAAGAAACTAAATAATCCCATTACTCAGAGACAACTAATTCAAGTGTTACATTTTGATATATATCCTTCCAGCACATGAATAAGCAGAGGGCGTGTGTGTGTGTGTGTGTGTGTGTGTGTGT